CACTGCGCCACCAGGGAAGCCCGGTAAGCCTTTTTAATAGCATAGCTTTCTCAAGGAGCTTAACCTAACTCAAAAGGGTTTCCTCTAAGTCCCGTTGCTCTGAATCAATGTCATCCAATAGAGTTTTTAGGATGATGAAAATATTCTCTATATCTACACTGTCCAACTTGGTAGTCCTTAACTATGCGTTCATTGAGCACTTGACGTGTGCTTGGTGTAACTGAGAAAATGAATTTTCAGTTTTATTTCTTTTTAATTAATTTAAATTTAAATAGCCACATGTGATTAGTGGAAATTGTATTGAAAGGTGCAGCTATCAAAAGCTGCAAAGTTCACGGCTCCTTTCACCACTTGGATGGGAGAAAGAGGTTACTGCATGTGTGGCATTTGTGATATCCAAGGCCAAATAGCTTCAGAGAAAATACATGTTTCTCAAGCCTGATAGGATGGGGAAGATTCAGTCAATCAGATCAGAAAGCAGGAAGAATATACTAATTTGAGTAAGCAAAATGCAAAGGAAGAAAAAGCACACAGGGTTTCTGGAACAAGAAAGCAATTTAAAGCTAAGTCTAGCAAGTAAGATTAGATCAGACTGCAGGGGCTCTCGGATGCCATGCCTAGAAGTTTAGACTATTTGAGAGTGTTGAAGTATGTGAGTGTGTACATCGTCCAGGGAATGCCCAACATACCACCCAGTCAATGAGTTGCCCTGTGTTCTTGTTAGGTTCTGAGATGAAATTAAATGTCTCCTTTTACAGAGCTGTGTACTGAATGGATCTCCACTTCCCTCTGTAAGCTTCACGATGTCTGGTTTCATTTGGATGTCTCTCTGAATAGTTGTAATGGCTGTAGAGGAAAGGGTTGTGATAAATGACCTCTGAGGTCCTTTCTGGTGCTGAGATTCTGATTCTGTTATGAGCCGTGCGGTCTTTTCTGTAAGATATGCTGGGGTCTTAGCACTGTGGGCTTATAGGGGAGACTAAAACATTGTGAATAAAAGGATCCAAACACAGGTATGAAACTGGGGTTGGGTGGCCTCCTGACAATGCTCAGCGATGGCATAGAAATGTTTGTGTGTTGAGTTGGGGAGAGGCAAAGACAGTCACAAGAATTTCTAGGCAATGTTCATGCTCAAACTTGAGCTCTGCACAGTCATTTCAATCTGAAATTAGCTCCCAGGGAGCATTTCTAGGGGAAGGGAGGGCAGAGGAGGCCAGGGAACGTTGGCAACGGGAGAATGGAGCTTGGAAAGAGGGAGGCAGAATGTCGAAGCCAGTGGGGCTGGAATTTGAGGCAGTGTGCCAGTTTCATCTGGAGAGCAGGAGAACCAAGCAGGAAAACCAGCAAAAAGCCCTCTCCTATGGACCAGGAAGCCCTGGCAGTGGATTGGGTATGAAGGTTTCTTGGGGAGGACTCAACATCCAATACACACCAAAGCAGTATACTCATTGCACACCCCATCTTCTTGTAGGTCAGAACCTGTGGACCTGTTGGCTGCCTCTATCTGCACTGGCTCAGCATTAGGCAGGGATGAGTCCTCAGGGTTAAAGCTCCTCTGTGGCTGGGATTGGGAAAATCAGGGAATGATGGATTTTGCAATAAACTAGAATTGGCCCAAAGATGTATCTAGTAGCCATTGCTACTGAACTTGAATCTGTGTTTCCGATACTGAAAAGAGAACTTTATGGCTAAAATTACGGTAATGTCATGAAAACCTAGGCAAGGTTGTAGAGGGAAAGCCCTTAATCAACAGAGCATGGGAGCATTAAGCAACCTAAGATTTGATCGTGGCCCCGCCCTTATTAGTCCTGTGAGCCTCGGTAGATTTGCCTGGAATCCTGACTCCATGAGACCTGGCTTGATAATATGACATACCAGTCACACATTTGTGCTCTCAAGTTGAATAGACTAGGGTCTACATCCTCACCATTTAACCAGCATGCGGCCTTGGGAAAGCTGTTTAATTTTTTAAGTCTCCAGTTGCCTCTACCATTAAATGGAGGAAATAACAGTATTTACGTCACAAGGTGGTTGTGAGGAGTAACTAAATAGTGTATGTACACAGTGCCTGTCCCAGCGTGTGTGTCCAGGGAGAACAAGCTATTTTTATTATTGGCTTCCCCAGAGCAGTTGATATACGCTGAGAAGTTGGCAGGGTCTTGGTCTTAGTTTTTATCAGGTCGCCACGCGTTCGGTGTGTGTGCTGAGCACCTCCTCTGTGTCAGAACTGTGCTAGGCTCTGCATCTGGAGATGAGTAAGATGAATTCCAAGGAGACTTCAAAGATAAAGAAGGCACAGCTTCTGTGCCCCAGGAGTTTGTAGGCTAGTGGGGGAGGGAGATTCATAAGCCTACAGTCAAGCCATGTGTGACATGTTACAACTCAAGACTAGGCCCAGTGCCCAGGAGTCCAGAGGCTGTGAGGACACCTGATGAGCAGAGAAGGAGTGGCACTCTGGTCGGAGGGAAGGCTCAGTGGAGAGAAGCAGGGTCAAGGACAGTAAGACGTGGGGTGGTGATCCGGGGTCTCCTTTGTTTTGCGGTGGAAGACAATTTGTTGATTCCTCAGGCACAGCCAAGAGAACACTCAGTCCCACCAAGACGGCCAGCTCACAGTGATTATCCTGAGCTTCTAGAACCTCAGTGGTGCAGCAGGAGATGGTGCCAGGAAGGGTTCTGGCCCTCTCTCCCAGGCCAGCTTGTATGCCCCTCCCCTCCCCAGGTCTCTCCAAAAGATACTGCAACCAAGGCCCTGCCCCTCCTCTCCGCGCTGTCCCTCCTGTGCGGCCAGCCACCCTCCCTGACCACAGGCATCGTGTATGCACAAAGGAGGCTGAAGAAAAAGAAAATCTTCTGGATCTCCCCACAGAGAATCAATATGTGCAGGCAAATCAACCTCGTGTGCTTTGACAAAGTATGCGCTAAACTTTCCAGGTTGGAGGTTAAAGATCACTAGACACAGCCGAGCTGGGAAGTCTGTCTAGCCCAGCACCCTCGTGGGACAGATGGGAACACGGAGGTCATGAAGGTCACACAGGGAGCTAGTGTGAGATCACATTCTAGAAGCCCGCTTTCCTGAGTCCTGAGGAAGTGGTTTAGCCATCACACCATGAATTTCTTCCCTGTCAAATTTAATATTTTCACGCCTGTTTTGGGATTCAAAACCGTCTCTTACTGTAATAACTTTTCTGATTGACTACATTTTTTCAGGCAAAACTTATGAGGAACATTTCTTTCTTTCTTTTTTCTTTTTTTTTTTTTTTGCGGTATGCGGGCCTCTCACTGTTGTGGCCTCTCCCGTTGCGGAGCACAGGCTCCGGATGCACAGGCTCAGCGGCCATGGCTCACGGGCCCAGCCGCTCCGCGGCATGTGGGATCTTCCCGGACCGGGGCACGAACCCATGTCCCCTGCATCGGCAGGCGGACTCTCAACCACTGCGCCACCAGGGAAGCCCATGAGGAACATTTCTGTTCCCCGAAGTTCTTTGTCTAGAGCTTAAGCGAGCATATTCCTTTCTCCTCCGCTGCTTCTTTTTAGGAAAGGGAGGGAGGGAGCTGCCACCCGTGTTTACCCACTCCGGCCCCTCTTTTCTCCTTTGCTTCCCAGGGTATCAAGACTCAGGACTGGGGCAGGTTGCCTGGAAAGGTTGCAGAAGGGGAGTATGTCCAGAGGAGGGGACAGCTGCTATCGGACAGGTCCCAGGACCCCTCTCCATGGCTCTCCCACGGGGGACCTGGCGGGGCTGTAGCATCAGCCACCTCGGCTCGGGTAGCAGGTTTACCCACTCGAAGGCAGGGCGCCTGGCCTGGTCCCTCCGTGTCTTCGGTTCATTTGTATGAGAATAATTGATCAAGGCCTTGCCACTTTTTCGTTAACCCTCATTGGCAGAGAGTGCCATTAATGAGATGAGCTCTTGAGGAGCTCATGTATAGCTGAGGAAGCAGGTAAAAGGGATAGACGATGAAAATGCAGCGAAATGCGTGCTGAGGAGAGGTGTGAGCCGAGCATTGGTGTGCAGTTACCTGCCACGGGTGGGAGGTCACCTTTGAGCTGTGGCTTTTGTTGTCAGACAGAATGGGCCCCATGGTGAGCAGCCCAGCAGCACAGGGATACCAGAGCTGCAGCAGGGGTGGGGGGGCAGGACCCTGGGTGGTGAGAACATGGCTGTGTTGTGGGGATGCAGCTGGAGTGGAGGAACCCAACTGCTCAGGGCATGATGTGCTAAGCTAAGGAGTGGGGCCTGGTGGTGGAGGAGAATGGGAGCCCTTCTCATTTTTTAGGAAGATGGTGATATCTCTATAGGCATGTTTTATTTATTCCATCTGGGGAATTGGAGAGAAAGGATGAAAGGGAGCTAGGACTGAGTCAGGAGGCTACCGTGGCACAATGGAAGAGATGGCTCCTTGTCCTAGACAAGGAGAGTGGGAATAGACAGTAGAAGACAAGCTGGAGAGACGGTTCCCATGTGGAAGTGGTATAGCTCTTACGTTAGTTCAGTTCTATTCTTTTCTAGTTTCCTTTGACAAAGAAGGTCCTGTAAGGTTAACTTAACAGTAGCTTCCTTTTAGATGCAGGGCCAAAGAACAGCCCCCAATAGGGATTCCTGTTACCTACCCAGCAGCCTCCCCAGTGTCTGAATATAGGAGGGAAATTTAGAAAATGCGTTCATTGCTTATCTCTTTCTAACACTAATTTTTTCAGAGGTGTTTCCATCCCATAGAAAGCTTTTCCCTCCACAACCTCATGTGCTCCTTTGCTAGGCTGTCTTAGGGATGCTCAACAGAAGATGTGTCCAAACTCCGTATGTCATGATGACATCTTATTGTACAAAGGACTCTTGGTTGGGAAAGGGCAAAATGAGAAACTAATCCTGAATTTGATACTAAGTTTCCATGTGACTTTTTAAGATAAGAAGGTTGAACTACAATGATCTCTGTTTCTTTCTAGCTTTAATATTATAAAACTCTACCAACATGGTGTTGAAATAAAGCCCTCCACAATTAATTGAGTTTCCATCTAGTGTTATTTCAATTTAGAAGATATTCACCACTGGGTTTCTGAGTACATTTGTTCCCGTATATTTCTAGTTTACGTTGGTTTGTTATAAGTTCCTTAAAGCAAGTTCTCTCTTCCTTTTCTATTCAATTCAGCCCAAGCCTGGGCTAGTATGTATGCTAAGTTTTCTTTTTCTATCTTATTCCCTTTAAAACAGCAACTATAATTTAGATTTTTTTTTCCATTTATGGCTAGCTTTATTGTATAAGGGTCATTTTCACATAGAGAAATAACATGGTCCCATATCTGTTTTGCTGCAGTATCATCTCTGTTTTCATGTTCAAGACATTGATGTTTAAAACATAATCTAATCATCAGAACAGCATTTCAGTCTGAATTAAGTTGCTAACTGTTTTTGAAATGGAACAACTCAAGAGCATTTGGAATCTAAACACACACGTTGGGGTCCTTATAAAATACAGGAGGGAAATGAAACAGATAGTGTTTTATTTGTTTGTTTTGTTTTGTTTTGTTTTGTGGTTTTTGTTCTTGAAGGAATAACTTACACAAAGGCACGTTAGCTCTCCATGAAGTCCAAATGAATTAATGAAACAAACATTCCTTACTTCTTTAATCCAGAAGCCCAGTACGGACTTTGTCTCTCCACATGCTTTGCAGAATTCATTTAACATTTGTCATCTGGTGGAAGTCTCCAGATGGGCTGGATTCCGGTTCTTTCTCTCCAACCTACGGGCCCCTAGACCCTGGGGCTGCTCATTTCACCCCTAATCTGAGAATGTCTCTACCCTATTTACTCAGTTGTAAGAAGTGAAAACATTGTAAGCACTTCACTGTAAAGCATGACGCTAATGCTATATGCTGTAATGATAAAAGATACCATTTGATAGAAAACTAGAAACTCCAGTGTCTTATACTGAGATGACCTTCAAGAAAAATAGTGTAAGAGACCTGGGTGTCAGTGTTGAAGAGGATATTCCCTAGTGCTTGGCAGTGCTCTGCTTGGCCTTGACAGTGCTGAGGCAGCGGTAACCACTTCCTTACTCTGACTGGGTGTTGAGCAGGCCTAATGCAGTTGGCCTACTGAGTAAAGACACCGGGGTTTGTAATTAATAACTGACTGTGATGCAATGAGCAAATTAAAAGTGCTGTGATAGTACTCAGTTCCATTTTGCTTTCTCTGTTACATTATCTGTGAAATACTTTCACATAGTACAGCAAATCAACTCTCTCAACCATTTTCCTCTTGATCTAACAGTAAAACCCATTCCTGGACATTAATTAATATTTATTATTAGCACTTTACTTCTCTCTGTAGTCTTAAAGCCCTTTATCAACATTTCATTATCAATCTGGACAGTCACCATGTCTCCCATATTTTTAGGAAGATAGCTGTGAACCAGATGGCAGACTGGGAACTAAATAGTCTTGCAAAGAAAGAAAAAAATTCTGAGCTCTGGTTTAGAAAGACAGCAGGTGCCAACTGAAAAGTCAAACTCAAGCTGGTTCTTGTTGGATTTCTATCCACTGAACCTCTCTCATTCAGCAACAGCAATGGTCACAACAATAAACAAACAAAAACAAAACACTTGCATTTTGTACTAATTAATGACTAGACTCACCTAATTTTCAACACCGTCTTTTGGGAATCATTTGTCACATGCTGAATCTTTCTTTCAGGCGTTCTTCTCTGACTTAAAATTTGATGTTTACCAATAAGGGCTTGGCCAATATTTTATAATTAGTATAAATGGAGTATAACCTTTAAAAATTGTGAATTACTATATTATACATATGTAACTTATAGAATATTTTACATCAGCTATACTTCAATAAAAATAAAATATAAAAAAAATAAAATTTCATTTAAAAAAGAATCTTTGAACAAATGGAGAATACAAATTTTTAAAAATCTGTCTTGGAAGAAAAAAAGAAAGCTAATGGAAAACTGAGTATCACATTTACTATAGATAAATACAATAATGAAAAAACATTTTAATCAAATAAACACATTTAATGTTAAATAAAAGGGCTTGGGACAACTAAATATACTGTAATTTCTTAGGAGCTTGGGTTTTCTGTAAATCATGATATAATTAAAAGCTCTAAATCTTCTGCTAAAACCCATTCTAATTATCTTGCAGACTGGCACTCTTACAGAAGATGGACTGGACCTCTGGGGGACTGTTCCTACTGCTGACAACTGGTAGGCCCTTTGGCGAAGACAGAGTGTGTGATTGGTGGGGCTACCCAGGTGACACTTCAATTCATCCTTCCTGTGTTGACGGATGAATCTCACATAAAAATATACATAATAATTGGCTGATACCAGCTCCCCATTAGTCTAACGTGCTAAATTAAATGAGTTCTAAGTTCAGAATCAGATGGGGAAAGTAGGTCTTCAAACTCCACATGAAAAATGGAATAGAATAAAGTGGATGATTAGGTAGTTGAATGAATAAAACAAAAAAGCAAAGAGTGAAATCAGGGCTATGCTTAATTAAAAACCGCACAGACTTCCTGGGCGGCTTGTGAGGTAGGAAATCCAGAAAGGAAAACCTCCATCTCTCCCCGTCATGGAGTTCACACTCTAGTTGGATAAAAGTTGCAAATGCACCCACCTTCAATGTACTACACAGGCCAGGAAAAGAATTATGATTAAGGTACAGATATCACGATACAGAAGAAGACCTAATAAAGATTGCTTGATAAAAAAAACAAAAAACCACATTTCTGATTTTTATAATAACATAGTGGATAAAAGGTAGAAATTCATTTTGAAAATGAATGGATCGAGGAATACCACCTGGAGGAGATAGCATTTGAGATAGGTTTTGAAGGGAGAATGCCTAGAATTTTTACAGACATGATTTAAAAACTGGCACTAGGGAGCGGAGAGGGCAATCACATAGACACTACCCTAGAACAGAGCTAGAGACAGGAGAGGCTGCCCATCTTCACAGAGCGCCCCCGAGCTCCGTTTCTCGCAGGGCTGGGACCTGCTTCTCAGTCAGAGTGGAGATGCCTCTGCTCTTAAGCTCTGGGTACCCCACCTGGGCTCCAAACTCTGGCTGAGGCTGCCGTTACTGAAGGAGTCATGCAGGGGCTCTCCAGGATGGTAACGGGACTGGGTTCGGCACTGGTACAAGAGAACAGCAGTCAGGCAGTGTGACGTTGCAGAAGATACCTGGGTTCTGGCCCTATTCATGTGTCTCTGCTTCTGGCTGCTCCGATGCCCAGGCCAGGCCTTTGTCCAGACAGGTAGGGCCTCTACTGGCCAGAGCAGTGAAAGGGGAAAGGGATGTTTGCAGTTTCCACCCCTTCTCTCCCTCTCTTGCCCCTGGTACTCTGAAACTTTGGGGGAAGTAGAAACCACTAGAAACAATTATTATTCAGCTCTAAGATGGGAGGAGAGAAGGTAAGGCAAGCCAGTCTGCTGTCAAATATAGGCGAAGGCCAAAGGGCCAATTAGTGAGAACTATTTGAGCCCGTGCCTGCTTTTACTTGAAGAAGAAAGGAGCCAGCAGGCAGGCTTCCTTTCCATCCCTGCTACCCCATTGGCCTGGAGACTTCTTGCCTGGGTTGGGTGGCTTTGCAGAAGCAACTTTGCAGTTCACAGATGTCAGCTCTGAGCCTTCCCACAATGTGCCTTCCTGCAACACTGCCACCTTGTGGGCTGGCGGCAGGCAACCTGACAAAAGCCCCTGTGATTATACCCAAGTACTCTACTCGGAATTTATCATACAGGGCATGGGGAGCTATTGAAGGTTTTGAGCATAGGGGTTATGTATTATTGAAGCTTATGTTAATAAGATTTTAAGGGGCAGGGTGTGCAAAATGATTTTGTTGAAGATCTTAACTTACTAATGATCTTCTCTACCAGTTTCCAGGAAGTCCACAGCTTTGCCTCGGGCAAGGCTCTGCCCTGGGGCCCACTGTGTGTGGCCATGGCCAGCTGCCACTCTCTGATCCTTCTCGACAGGACCATCCAGGGAGACCCACTGGACCTCAAAATGTTTGAGGGCACAGCTTGAGTAAGGTGATTATTTCTTGGCTCTACTGAATGAGGAAAACTGGAAGAAATACTTACCAGGAGTTCCAAGGCATTTCTAACTTTGGTTGAAACCCAGAGAAGATTCATAACAATATGTGAATGAGGGTCTGATCCTACCTGAATTTCCCAGTCCCTGCTCCCAGACTCTATTAACTAGTGCAACATGAACTAGGGTTCCATGATGAAATAAATTTGAGAACTGCTGTTCAAACAAAGTTAAGTTGATTTCTTTAGGATTTCTTTAATATAGTGTGGTGCATTGTGAATATTCAAGAGGGAATATAATACACAGCATTTACTAAACCTATTTCACCACAGAAAACCTTGACAGGCCAAAACATGGTACAAAACACTCTTGGAAAAACACTAGTCTAAAGCAGTACCGTTAATGCAGTAGCCACTAGCCACGTTGGCTATTGAACACATGAACTGTGGGTATGCATCTAAGGAACTGGATTTTAAATTTTATTTATGTTAACTAATTTAAATTTAAATAGCCACAAGTGGCTCGTAGCTACTGTACTAGACAGTATAGGTCTCAAAACCAGAATGGAGGTCCCTCAATCCAATGGGTTCGGTTTCCTGAGGTGAATGTAGATGACAGCTGAAGGTTATAAGACTCCCCCTGGTGACTGTCATGACACAGTGGGAAAACCTCTTGACTCCGCCACTCTCTAGATGCAAGACCCCAAATCCAGAACAAGATTCTGAGTCATTACCTCATTTGCGCATTTGGATAATAATGCCTCATTCAGGAGCATGTTGAGACTGTGAGCCTGAAGGGGCTGCATGCATTGTAAAGTGCCCAAACAATGGAGAGTATTCATTCATTCATTAGTTAGTTAATTAACTATGTTGTTCTGCCCTCCAAAAATATGTTCTAAAGCTGCTTATAGTGACACATAAAATACAGGACAGCATTTAAACAGAGTTGTAAAGGAATGAAAACAGATGACTGTACAGACATGGAGAACACCTCACAAAGAGGCTAATTCAAAGATTTATTGTAAGAAAATTGTAGCTTTCTAGAGGCCAAAGTAATAAAAGGCCAAACCTGGTAAACAGGGAAATTTCTGTATCAGTAAATTCAAATGAGAGCATTTGCTGTGGAGAAATGCTTGATATTGTCGACTGAAAAAAAATTCACAATCTAAAAGTTGAGAGTTATGTTTTATTTGGCAGACAAAACTGAGGACTTAAGCCCAGGGCGCAGCATCTCAGATAATTCTGACGGACTACAACAGGAAAGTTGCGTGGGAGGGGGAGCCAGGATACATAGGAGTTTTTGCAACAAAGACCAGGTAGTCAAATCAAAAGATTACTGTTAATTAAAGGCAACCAGATACCTCAAGTTAAGGAATTTAGCACTTTTCTATGTATGGGAAAATGCAAGAGTCTGGGCTCACTGAAATCATTCCTTTGATATGCACCTCAGCTCTCTGGGGCCAGCATCCTGTGTTTTCTCATCCTGAGTCTCCTCAGGGTGCACTGTCAGGGGTGCCTGCAGAGGCTGACTGCTAGATGGCAGGCATCCTATTTCTATCCCGAGTTCCCTGAGGGCTCACCATCTAGGCAGCTGTAATGTGATGGCTTGATGGTTCCAATGTCCTTTGTTTGCTGATATGGCAGGAAATATTTTTATTCACAATATAAGGGCAAGACTAAAATCACTTTTCTGGGTCTTAATGGAGACGAATCAGTGTAATTTTTATAAGCAAGGTCCTTACCAGCATCATTGGTGCTGACACAGTGAGGAGTTGCACATGGTCATTATTGCTGTATGTGACTTTGATCCTGGTTCTAACAGTGCCCCCTTCTCCAATGGAGGAGGCTTGATCTCTTTGTACAAATGACATACAAATTGGGGTCTTATGTGAAGACATAAATCTATAGTATTAGCTCTGTAAGTACTGTCTTTAAGACCAGTTATATCCACCCCAACAAAGAAAGTGCAAATTGTTCATTGAGTTTAAAGCTGGATGAGAGTCTCTAGTTAAATATCTTTTGGTAGTTCCTTTCACTAAGCATAATGGGGAGGGAAAATGTCCTTACAGACTCTAAGAATATTAGCACTAGAAGGGATGTCATGATATTTTTCAGAAGAAATTGAGATCTGCAGAAATGAAGTGATATCCCCAAGGTTGAACAAGTAAGTGATAGAGCGGAAACCAGATGTTGTCTCCTATTTTCTGACTTGTGCTATTTATATATCTGACTGCCTTTACCATATTTTAGCTTAATATTGGTTTCTCAGATGGTATAACATACTGTTGTAACACCCAAAGAATACAAATTATTTTCAAATATGCTTTCTAATTTGCTAGCAGCTAACTTGTAACTCTCTAGCTAACGAATTAAGCTAGTAGCATAGATAGAGCACAAGAAATAGTATCGTGTTTATCTCAAGACTCAACCCTCTGTCATCTGAGAGCTAGTGTGCTCAGGTATATTGGAGAGTAGATCTCCACTTAAACCCTCATCCATTTACAAGACACGCCTTTTAGGAAGAGCCAATGGGCTATAGTTAGCACTTCCTCCACCAATTACTACTTAAAATGTAGTCACAATAATTCTGGCTTTTTGACATTTTACAATAAGGTCCTTAATATAAATCAACACAACAGAAATTTGACAATGATGGTATTAAGATAATTGGCCTACAAGAGAAAATACATGAAAAGGGCTTTGAAAAGATTAAAGTGCTATTTAGATATTTATTAGAGAGATATTTCTTTCTTATTATTTTTCTCTAAGGAATCTTATGAATGTTTTCATTTTAAAACAGATAAAGGAAGATTGCAATGTAGACTACTGCAAATTTGGGATATCAGTTTCCAACATAATAATAAAACCAGGACCAAAAGCCAGTTGGGTATGATGTGCTTTTTTTAAATTATATAAATATTCCCCCTTAAAACTGGTGAAATTCCCCTGTCTTTTACATATTTTTATATTCCTATTATTTTGTCTTATCCTAACAGTATCCATGGTCAGTTTGCTCATTCCTTCATTCCTGAATTTATCCATTAATTTATTCAACAAACACTCATGAGGTACCTATGTATGCTCGAACCCTGTGCTAAGTGCTAAGGCATAAAGTGACTTCAAAACTAGACATGCTGGGAGGGACCTTCAAGATGGCGGAGAAGTAAGACATGGAGATCACCTTCTTCCCCACAAATATATCAAAAATATATCTACATGTGGAACAACTCCTACAGAACATCTACTGAATGCTGGCAGAAGACCTCAGATTTCCCAAAAGGCAAGAAATTCCCCACGTACCTGGGTAGGGCAAAAGAAAAAAACAGAGACAAAAGAATAGGGATGGGAGCTGCATCTCTGGGAGGGAGCTGTGAAGGAGGAAAATTTCCACACACTAGGAAGCCCCTTCACTGGCGGGGACAGGGGACGGCGAGGGGGAAGCTTCGGAGCCATGGAAGAGAGCGCAGCAACAGGGGTGCAGAGGGCAAAGCACAGAGATTCCCGCACAGAGGATCAGGGCCGACCGGCACTCACCAGCCCGAGAGGCTTGTCTGCTCACCCGCCGGGGCCAGCGAGGCTGGGAGCTGAGGCTCGGGCTTCGGAGGTCAGATCCCAGGGAGAGGACTGGGGTTGGCGGCGTGAACACAGCCTGAAAGGGGCTAGTGTGCCACAGCTAGCTGGGAGGGAGTCCGGGAGAGTCTGGACCTGCCTAAGAGGCAAGAGACCATTGTTTCAGGGTGCGCGAGGAGAGGGGATTCAGAGCACTGCCTAAACCAACTCCAGAGAAGGGCACGAGCCGTGGCTATCAGCGTGGACACCAGAGACAGGCATTAAGCGCTAAGGCTGCTGCTGCCGCCACCGAGAAGCCTGTGTGCAAGCTCATGTCACTATCCACACACACCCTCCCCAACCCGGGAGGCTGTGCAGCCCGCCACTGCCAGGGTCCCGTGATCCAGGGACAACTTCCCAGGGAGAACACGCGGCACGCCTCAGGCTGTTGCACCATCATGCTGGCCTCTGCTGACACAGGCTCACCCTGCATTCCAATTATAACTACCGTTCCCTTCCCTCCCCTCTGGCCTGAGTAAGGCGACCTACACGAAGAGGCGGGGCCAAAACCAAAGCTGAACTCCAGGAGCTGTGCGGACAAAGAAGACAAAGGGAAATTTCTCTGTGCAGTCCCAGGAGCAGCGGATTAAATCCCCACAATCAACTTGATGTACCCTGCATCTGTGGAATACCTGAATAGACAATGAATCATCCCAAATTGAGGTGTTGGATTTTGGGAGCAGCTGTAGACTTAAGGTTTGCAGTCTGCAACTGACCTGTTTCTGATTTTTATGTTTATCTTAGTATAGTTTTTAGCACTTGTTATCATTGGTGGTTTTATTGGTTTGGTTGCTCTCTTCTTTTAATTAAATATTATTACTTTTTAATTTTTTTATTTTAATAATTTTATTTTTTAAATTTATTATCATATTTTTCTTTCTTTTTTTCTCCTTTTTCTTTGGAGCCATGTGGCTGTTAGGGTCTCGGTGTGCTGGCCTGGTGTCAGGCCTGAGCCTCTGAGGTGGGAGAGCCAAGTTCAGAATCTGGACTACCAGAGACATCCCGGCCCCACGTAATATCAAATGGCAAAAGCTCTCCCTGAGATCTCCGTCTCAACGCTAAGACCCAGCTCCACCCAACGGCCAGCAACCTCCAGTGTTAGACGCCCCAAGCCAAACAACTAGCAAGACAGGAACACAACCCCACCCATTAGCAGAGAGGCTACCTAAGGTATTACTAACTTCACAGATACCCCAAAACACACCACCGGACACGGTCCTGCCCACGAGAAAGACAAGGTCCAGCCTCATCCACCAGAACACAGGCACCAGTCCCCTCCACCAGGAAGCCTACACAACCCGCTGAACCAACCTTACCCACTGGGGGCACACACCAAAAACAATGGGAACTATGAACCTGCAGCCTGTGAAAAGGAGACCCCAAACACAGTAAGCTAAGCAAAATGAGAAGACAGAGAAATATGCAGCAGATGAGGGAGCAAGGTAAAAACCCACCAGACCAAACAAATGAAGAGGACATAGGCAGTCTACCTGAAAAGAATTCAAAGTAATGAGAGTAAAGATGATCCAAAATCTTGGAAATAGAATGGAGAAAATACAAGAAACATTTAACAAGGACCTAGAAGAAATAAAGAGCACACAAACAACCATGAACACCACAATAAATGAAATTAAAAATTCTCTAGAAGGAATCAATAGCAGAATAAATGAAGCAGAAGAACAGATAAGTGACCTGGAAGAGAAATAGTGGAAATAATTACCACACAGCAGAATGAAGTAAAAAGAATAAAGAGAATTGAGGACAGTCTCAGAGACCTCTGGGACAACATTAAACACACCAACATTCAAATTATAGGGGTCCCAGAAGAAGAAGAAAAAAAGAAAGGGTCTGAAAAAATATTTGAAGAGATTATAGTTGAAAACTATAACATGGGAAAAGAAATAGTCAAGTCCAGGAAGCACAGAGAGTCCCATACAGGTTAAATCCAAGGAGAAACACTCCAAGACACATATTAATCAAACTATCAAAAATTAGATACAAAGAAAAAATATTAAAAGCAGCAAGGGAAAAACAACAAATAACACACAAGAGAATCCCCATGAGGTTAACAGCTGATCTTCTAGCAGAAACTCTGCAAGCCAGAAGGGAGTGGCAGGACATATTTAGAGTCATGAAAGGGAAAAACCTACAACCAAGATTACTCTACAAAGCAAGGACCTCATTCAGATTTGATGGAGAAATTAAAACCTTTACAGACAAGCAAAAACTAAGAGAATTCAGCACCACCAAACGAGTTTTACAACAAATGCTAAAGGAACTTCTCTAGGCAGGAAACACAAGAGAAGGAAAAGACCTACAAAAACAAACTCAAAACAATTAAGAAAATGGTAATAGGAACATACATATCGATAATTACCTTAAATGTAAATGGATTAAATGCTCCAACCAAAAGACAGACTGGCTGAATGGATACAAAAACATGAACCCGTATATATGCTGTCTACAAGAGACCCAATTCAGACCTAGGGACACATACAGACTGAAAGTAAGGGGATGGAAAAAGATATTCCATGCAAATGGAAATCAAAAGAAAGCTGGAGTAGCAATTCTCATATCAGAAAAAAAGAGACTTGAAAATAAAGACATTACAAGAGACAAAGAAGGACACTACATAATGATCATGGGATCAATCCAAGAAGAAGATATAACAATTTTAAACATTTATGCACCCAACATAGGGAACCTCAATACATAAGGCAAATGCTAACAGCCATAAAAGGGGAAGTTGACAGTAACAGAATAACAATAGGGGACTTTAACAACCACTTTCAGCAATATACAGGTCATCCAAAGTGAAAATAAATAAGGAAACACAAGCTTTAAATGACACATTGAACCAGATGGACTTGATATATACAGGACATTCCATCCATAACAACAGAATACACTTTCTTCTCAAGTGCTCATGGAACATTCTCCAGGGTGGGTCATATCTTGGGTCAAAAATTAAGCCTTGGTAAATTTAAGAAAATTGGAACCGTACCAAGTACCTTTTCCAACCACAAAACTATGAGACTAGTTATCAATTATAAGAAAAGAAAAACTGTAAAAAGTACAAACACATGGAGGCTAAACAGTATGTTACTAAATAACCAAGAGATCTCTGAAGAAATAAAACAGGAAATAAAAAAATATCTAGAAACAAATGACAATGAAAACATGATGACGCAAAACCTATGGGATGCAGCAAAAGCAGTTCTAAGAGGGAAGTTTATAACAATACAATCCTACTTCAAGAAACAACAAACATCTCAAATAAACAACCTAAACTTGCACCTAAAGCAATTAGAGAAAGAAGAACAAAAAAAACCCCAAAGTTAGCAGAAGGAAAGAAATCATAAAGATCAGATCAGAAAGAAATGAAGGAAACAATAGCAAAGATCAATAAAACTAAAAGCTGAGGCAGACACTAAAAACAATGGGAACTTGTTCTTTGAGAAGATAAACAAAATTGATAAAACATTAGCCAGACTCATCCAGTAAAAAAAGGAGAAGGCTCAAATCAACAGAATTAGAAATGAAAAAGGAGAAGTAACAACTGACACTGCAGATATACAAAGGATCATGAGAGATTACTACAAGCAACTATATGCCAAAAAAATGGACAACCTGGAAGAAATGGACAAATTCTTAAAAAACACAACCTTCTGAGGCTGAACCAGGAAGAAATAGAAAATATAAACAGACCAATCACAAGCACTGAAATTGAAGCTGTGATTAAAAATCTTCCAACAAACAAAAGCCCAGGAGCAGTTGGTTTCACAGGTGAATTCTATCAAACATTTAGAGAAGAGCTAACACCTATCCTTCTCAAAGTCTTCCAAAGTATAGCAGAGGGAGGAACACTCCCAAACTCATTCTATGAGCCCACCATCACCCTGATACCAAAACCAGACAAAGATACCACATAAAAAGAAAACTACAGGCCAATATCACTGATGAACATAGATTCAAAAATCCTGAAGAAACTACTAGCAAACAGAATCCAACAACACATTAAAAGGATCATACACTATGATCAAGTAGGGTTTATCCCAGGAATGCAAGCGTCTTCAATATACACAAATCAATCAATGTGATAAACCATATTAACAAACTGAAGGAGAAAAAGCATATGATAATCTCAATAGATGCAGGAAAATCTTTCAACAAAATTCAACACCCATTTATGACAAAAACTCTCCAGAAAGTAGGCATACAGGGAAGCTACCTCAACATAATAAAGTCCATAAATGACAAACCCACAGCCAACATCATTCTCAATGGTGAAAAATGGAAACAATTTCCTCTAAGATCAGGAACAAGACAAGGTTGCCCACTCTCCCCATTATTATTCCACTTAGTTTTGGAACTTTTAGTCACAGCAGTCAGAGAAGAAAAAGAAGCAAAAGGAATCCAAATCAGAAAAGAAGAAGTAAAACTCTCACTGTTTGCAGACGACATGGTACTATACATAGAGAATCTAAAAGATGCTACCAGAAAACTACTAGAGCTAATCAATGAATCTGGTAAAGTAGTAGGATACAATATTAATGCACAGAAATCTCTGACATTCCTATACACTAATGATGAAAAATATGAAAGAGAAATTAAGGAAACATTCCCATTTGCCATTGCAATAAAAAGAATAAAATACCTAAGAATAAACCTACCTAAGGAGACAAAAGACCTGCATGCAGAAAACTATGACACTGATGAAAGAAATTAAAGATGATACAAACAGATGGAGAGATATACCATGTTCTTGGATTAGAAGAATCAACATCGTGAAAATGACTATACTACCCAAAGCAATCTACAGATTCAATGCAATTCCTATCAAACTACCAATGGCATTTTTCACAGAACTAGAACAAAAAATTTCACAATTTGTATGGATACATAAAAGACCCCAAATAGCCAAAGCAATCCTGAGAAAGAAAAACGGAGCTGGAGGAATCAGGCTCCCTGACTTCAGACTATACTACAAAGCTACAGTAATCAAGACAATATGGTACTGGCACAAAAACAGAAATATAGATGAGTGGAACAGGATAGAAAGCCCAGAGAAAAACCCACGCACATATGGTCGCCTTATCTTTGATAAAGGAGGCAAGAATATACAATGGAGAAAAGACAGCCTCTTCAATAAGTGGTGCTGGGAAAACTGGGCAGCTACATGTAACATCATGAAATTACAACACTTCCTAACACCATACACAAAGATAAACTCAAAATAGATTAAAGACCTAATTATAAGATCGGACACTATAAAACTCTTAGGGAAAACATAGGAAGAACACTCTTTGACATAAATCACAACAAGATCCTTTTTGACCCACCTCCTAGAGAAATGGAAATAAAAACAAAAGTAATCAAATGGGACCTAATGAAACTTAAAAGCTTTTGCACAGCAAAGGAAACCATAAACAAAACAAAAAGCCAACCCTCAGAATGGGAGAAAATATTTGCAAATGAAGCAACTGACAACGGATTAATCTCCAAAATATACAAGCAGCTCATGCAGCTCAATATCAAAAAAAATAAACAACCTAATCCAAAAATGAGCAGAAGACCTAAATAGACATTTCTCCAAAGAAGATATACAGATTGCCAACAAACACATGAAAGGATGCTCAACATCACTAATCATTAGAGAAAGGTAAGTCAAAACTACAAGGAGGTATCACCTCACACTGCTCAGAATGACTATCATCAAAAAGTCGAAAACAATAAATGCTGGAGAGGGTGTGGAGAAAAGGGAACCCTCTTACACTGTTGGTGGCAATTTAAATTGATACAGCCACTGTGGAGAACAGTATGGAGGTTCCTTAAAAAACGAAAACTAGAACTACCATATGACCCAGTTATCCCACTACTGGGCATATATCCTGAGAAAACCATAATTCAAAAAATGTTCATTGCAACACTCTTTACAATATCCAGGACATGGAAGCAACAATATCCAGGACATGGAAGCAACCTAAGTGTCCATCGACAGATGAATGGATAAAGAAGATGTGGCACATATATACAATGGAATATTACTCAGCCATAAAAAGAAATGAAATTGAGTTATTTGTAGTGAAGTGGATGGACCTAGAGTCTGTCATACAGAGTGAAGTAAGTCAGAAAGAGAAAAGCAAATACTGTATGCTAACACATATATATGGAATCTAAGAAAAGAAAAAAGGTTCTGATGAACCTAGGGACAGGACAGGAATAAAGATGCAGACGTAGAGAATGGATTTGAGGACACGTGGAGGGGGAAGGGTAAGCTGGGACGAAGTGAGAGACTGTCATGGACATATATACACTACCAAATGTAAAATAGATAGGTAGTGGGAAGTAGTTGCTTAGCACAGGGAGATCAGCTTGGTGCTTTGTGTCCACCTAGAGGGGTGGGATAGGCAGGGTGGGAGGAAGACACAAGAGGGAGGGGATCTGGTGATACATGCATATGTATAGCTGATTCACTCTGTTATACAGCAGAAAATAACACACCATTGTAAAGCAATTATACTCCAATAAAGATGTTTAAAAGAAAAAAAAGGAAAGAAAATAGAAAAAGAGAAATGCAAAAAAAGAAAGCTAGACATGTTGGGCTCTGTGCTGGAAGAATATGTGGACTGATAGAAAAATCAATATAGGTGCAAATAAATGCAGTATAATGTGCCAAGTGCTATAATAGAGGCTGAAGAAGGAACAGCAGGAGTCCAGAGGTGGGAGTAAATACTGTTTTTAGGAGAGAAGTACCACAGAGGTGGTGCCCTGCAAACTTGGTCTGGAAGATGATTCAGATTCCTCCAAGCAGCCAAGGGGAAGGGCCTTGCACACCAGACAACTTGATGAGGGAATCGCCTTAGACGCAGCTAGAAAAATATCAACGTTGTGACAATGTACGACTTCATGATGTCCCTGGGCTCACTGAAGAGTAAACCTTATATGCTGTTGTGCATCTGCTAAATCTCACGTAACAGCTTCTTAAGGTCCCCTCTTTTGGGGCCCTCAGAGCCCCTTGGAAGCCATCGCCATCTTTCGACAGTTTCCATTTTCCTGCAGCCTGCAGAGGATGTCTGTGGTCATTCAGCTGGAGGGGAGGATTATTTTTGTGTCTATATGAAAGGTGCCCCGGAGATGCTGGCTAGGTTCTGCAGATCTGAAACAGGTACTAACTGACACTTATCTCTTTCAGGAGGCAAAAATATTTTAAAAGCTCAAACACACAGAGCAAACCAACCTAAATCAATGAATGTGGAGGTGGTTATTTTCTCGGTAAGTGGGAAGTGGGCTCAGTAGATCTGCTAAGGCAGAGGTGGTAACTTAAAAGCAGAGAAGCAGTGAGTAAATGTCAGCCAGAAAAGCCCAACCACAATGGGGCATCAGAGAGGGAGGTGTGAAGCAAGCCTCAGAAGCCAGAACAGGGAGCTACAGAGGGGTCAGAGGACCAGGGAGCGTGACAATGAGGAGTGTTAAAAGGAACCAAAGAGACAGGTCTGAACCCTAGATTAATTCTGGAGACAGGGATGCTCTGTCACCTCCTGGGGGCTGGCACCACTTATGGGGTCTTAGACAGATCAATGAGAGGAGAATATAAAAAAAATAAATCTTTTAGAAAAAAAAAGTGATTAGAGTAAATTAGATGGTATTAGAGCAAGGTAATCATTTTCACAGCAATTTCATCTTTCAGGCCCAGATTTTGAGCTGATTTGTATTGTTTCTTAGTCTTATAAACATATGCACTCTCTAAGCTGCAGCCCAGATTTGTAAGAATATTGTTGCATTCAAATGAGTTCATTTGGATAAAACTGGCCTTTTTACTCCTGATTTTCATCTATATTCTCCTTACAATTGCTGATAGCCATCAACTTGTGCACAGAATTCTAAGATTTGACAAATGATTGCTTTAACTTCTCTCTCTACTTCGAGTCTTTTTTTAGAAGCCCCTCTTTTTTCTGACTTTGATCTTCCTCATAGCTCCCATTAACTCCATCCTTCACAGATTGATGGTCTGTGCTTGGCTGTTCATTTTTTTTCAGGTGTCATTTGCCACCCCTTATTCTTCTGGTAGCCCTTCCAATTCTTCTTATTGTCCTAAATTCTGATCCTTGACATATGCTAATATCATATTCATACAGTTGGCACTTTGAAAGACCTCCAGAATCCTTTAGATATGTCTTCTTTCAAGAATCAGTAGTACACCTCCCTCGGGTCTGGAGAGGTAGTGAGTGCAAATTGAGTTCCTTATATGAAGTAGAATTCAGTATTCTTAATTACGTTCAGGAGACAGATTGTCCTCAGCAGAGGACAATCTGTAGATTATTTTTTCTTTCGAAGTTTCTCAGTTTTTAAAGTTTGTTTTTGAATTGTTTATGACAAAGGAGTAAAGAAATACTGTGGAAAATTGAATAACAAATCATCTACATCACTTATCTTTGATTTTGTGTTGCTGGTAGAGAGATCCTCACTTATATACAATTATTAACCCCTCTGCACAAGATCTGGATATCCTCGGTTCCGCATTACTATTTACAACCTAAGTCTATCTACTCTAATATAATCAGTAATCACCGTCCCTTCCTTACCCTGTGTCTATTTCCCCCATCTATAAAATGTGGGATTGGGTGATCTCTAAGAAGCCTTTCGCCATGACATTTTAATCTTCTAAATAGAATCACAAATATATGGGGTTCACAAATATATGAACGGCACTCTCAGGTTTAACATTCAAGGTGTTAGCTATTCTTGAGGAAGCATAAAGACCCATAACACACAGGATTTTGTAATTTTTCAAGATACAAATTTTAATAATGAAAGTTAAGGTCACGTGTGAAGACAAGATTTATGTCGCTAGAAGTGGAATGTAGCTGCCACCCAGCTGTCACATACAAATTAAACTGTGATGTTCTCACTTAAAAGCACCAGTGAGAGAGACATTATTATAAATATGACAAAATTTTAAAATGAGGATAAATGTGCTAGATTTCCAACTATCCCATGTTTTCCCAGAGAATATCAGGAGCCTATTTATCATGCTTCCTAGAATATAGTTATTATTTTCAAACAGGGTTAAAGAATAGGGTTTTGATTATTTTTTGAGTCAAATTATATGCAGCAGAAATTTCCAATTAGGAAAATCAAGATGTATAAAAAACTGACATCATAAAGGGGAAGTAGAAGAGTTTCCTGAGATGACTTAGGGGGACAAAAAATCAGGAGCAATACCTTATCAAGATTCACCCTTTCATGAGTTTAGCCAATTTCTATTGAGCTTGACTATGTATTGGATGCCCCTCAAGGCACTGAGGACTCAGAAGTGAATAAAATCAAATCCTTGCCCTCACAAAGCTTATATCCTAATTGGGGGAAATAATTAATGAAGTTAATCTATAAAATATTGTCAGGCAGTGATAAATGCCCTGAAAGAAGAAAAAAAGCAGGTTAAAAGGATTTTTAAAATGACAGAGAGCACCATATTACATTGGGAGATTAGGGAAGTCCTCTGAGGGGGTAACATTTGAACAGAGATCTGAGTAAAGTCAGGGAGCAGAGCATGCAAGTATCCAGGGACGGAGCACTGCAGGCAATAGGAATAGTGGACGCAACAGGCCTCGACACAGGATTTTGCTAGAATGTTGTAGAATCCCGAGATACCCAAGTGCCTGAAGCAGTGAAAAAGGGAAGAGTCATAAAACAGAGACTCAAAGCAGAATACATTGGTGAGAAGATTTTGGAATTTTTCTTTTAGTTCTAGTTAATGAGAAAATATTAATCCAATTTATAATAGAAAGTCATGAAGTTAAATGATGAGAATTTAACAAATTCTATATTAAGGTGCATTTTCTTTTATAATATTCTCTAAGATCATGAGGTAGGATTCATATCTGATTATCTGAGTATTCACCAACGTGCCTAATATAGGATCTAAAATAAAGTAGTAATTTAGTAACTGGACTGTGGAATGAAGGATGTAGCTACTTATACTCTACTCCAGAGAGAAGTTTCTTCATTGTATTCTTATCCACGTTGAATTATTTCTCATCAAGAAATTCAACTCTGATTTTTTTCTTAAAGAAATTTACTGACCACGTGATCATTTCCCTCCCAAGTCCTACTAACATGATAGAAAAGAAAGTTTCAAAGAAAACTAGAGAAGGAATAAGTGTAGATGAGAGATTTCTATATATCTCTGTAAGACGTAAAGTAAGTGGAGGAATGGTAGCTGAATCAGCAGGATAGAAGAAGCTATAGCTTATACCAAGACAGAGAGATTGCAAGATGAAAGCTGGTTCACCCTGTAGAACCCCAGAGAGAACGAGACTCTGATATGTCATGTACTGTGGAAGATGGAGATGAGACTAAGGACAGTGAACATGGGGGATGGACTGACAGCAGGCACAGAAGTTGGTTCCCTAGGTCTCCCTATCCTTCCCCTTCCTCTTCCTGAAATCTTAACTCCACTCTGGACAGAAAAAGGAAAAAATGAGGGATCAAGAAAGAGCTCTTGGCCCCCAAATTTACTTTTTAAGAAACACCTGAGATTTATTTTATTTTAGAGGAGAGGTCCCACTACCTAATGTAACCCAGTTAGACTCCAAGCCTCCCATTTCAAATTCTGAAAACTCTTCAAATCCTTGGCTGATGTCATATATTTACTGGATGTTACAGATGGAGGCTGAAATAAATGATTCCATATTCAACTATTACTATAGTATCCTGTATGCAGTATGTACTTAATAAACGTCTACTAAACTAAAATGCTTACAAGCTAAAAAAGTTTTAAAAATATATGACTAACAAAAAATTTTAAAAAACAACAGAAGAGTTGGAAGATAAGCACATTGTTTTTAAAAAACGGAGTTGAAAAACTGGAAGAAGCAGCTAAAAGATATAAAAGTAGTTACCTCTGAGAAGGAGAAGGGGTGGGGTGCTGTGAAGACAGGGGCTACTGGTTTTCATTACTATAAACTTTTGGGTTCTTTTTGATTTTTTAAACCTGTGCATGTATTACATTGATAAAACTTAGAAATTTCAAAACGAAGAAATAAATCCAACTGTTGAGATTATATGGATACACTTTAATAGTGACTTTCTTCCAAATCCAAAGAGAGAAGGTGGAGTCAGAGTTAACATTTCTGGGACTTCTCATAATGGAGAATCACTTGAAAAAGGAAACAAAACCAGTCTTGAAGGAACTGAGCTAGGCCCCATCAGGACTGCGATGATTACCGGTATGGGTTTCAGGAAGCCTGTCAAATTACATGTATCCCAGGCATAAGCAAAATACCATGTGAGCTGAGTGAGTTCATGTAACTGAGGCGGAGAGAACCAAACTTGGCTGTCAAGTTTGTTACCCTCTGCTCCAGTTACCTGGGAACATGTGTAGCTCCCGCACCCCCAGCACGACCCTGAGCTTTGGAGGCAAGGACCATAGCTCATTCCCTTTGTCTAATGCCCTCTGTTCCTACCCAGGATCTGTGCAGAGCTAATAGGCTCATAACAAATGTTGAAAGAAGAGAATGGGATTCTCATCAAGAACCCCAGTGAGACCTCTGTGTGAAGGGGGTGAGACCCTGCTGGACTGTCCTTCAGGGCGGTGGGGTAGGCATGGCCTGTGATGATCAAATCCAACATGGCCAGCCCTAAGTGCTTTTTTTCTTTACTTAATTGGAATCCAGATGCCAAGAATAGTTTTATGTTATCAGACGAGGCCCATATAACTTTCACCACTGACAGCTGTCAGTCTTCTGAGGATTAGTCATAAAGCACTTAAATATTTATTTATTCACTTGTGCATGTTTTGGAAATATGCAATGTTCTGGGACATGATGCGGTTATGGGAGGGAAATGCAGACGTAGTGTTTGAGCACCCATGACAGATAGGCCTGATAAATGGTTATGAAAAAAGCAGAAAGTGATAAATGCCCCCAAGAGCACCAACAATGTGGTACAGTCACTCGGAAGAGGGAGAGCTCAGTTCTGGATGCTGAGAGGTTTCTACACAAAGCAAGCCCACTTTCTTTGTCATCTAGCTGACAACCTTCAAACATCCATCACTGTTGCAAAGAATTCTGAAATGATTCCTCGGGGGAGCCACATGATCCTTGTTGAAGCCAATGAACCCGAAGAGTTTGTCCCTGCCTCCGTGACCTGGAAGCTGGTAGAGAACCAAGAGAGTGGGCCTGGAAAGAATGTGAGTGAATGTTACAAGCCTCCTGCATGGGCTGGGGCAGATGGAATACAGCCCTGACCCTGGGCAGCTCTCTCTTGGCATTAGAAGTCACCACAGTAATAAGCCCTCCCATCTGCCCAGAGTTTTACTGTTTGAAAAGCTTTTAGCATTTCCACCAGCACTTCTCAGTCTTGGCCTCACGTAGAAACTACCTAGAAGAGTTTTTAAGCTTCCAAAGCCAAGACTACGGATTCATTCAGAATCTCTGGGCTGGGAACTGACATCAGTCCTTCTCCCGGTGATTCCAATGTGCAGATGTGGCTGAGAACCACATCTTGCTTGTACCTATATACATTTTTAATAGAGATGGTATACTTTAAAATTTTTATTTTATTGAAGAATAGCTGGTTTACAATGCTGTGCTAATTTCTGCTGTACAGCAAAATGATTCAGTTATACATCTATATATTCTTTTTCATAGTCTTTTCCATTATGGTTTATTACAGGATACTGAATATAGATCCTCACTACTTTTTAATAAAGAGTCCACTTATGAGCTTAATGCCTCTCCTGAAGGTTTGTCATTGCAGGGAGAAATCGCATCATAGTCTCAGGCTTTCCTGCTCCTCTCTGGCTCCCTCCCACCCCACTTTCTCTCCTCGATTTCCAAGAAAAGCACAGGGAATCCAGTCCCTGCCTCAAGTGAACACTTTACAACAAGTCTTTGGTTGGCGGTTTTACAGTGGAGGTTGGAAGGGGAGGGGTGTATCACCTTGCCTCCCAGTCTAGTACATCAAAATATTTTTTCTTCCAACTACAGTGCTTCCCCCAGTGAATTCCTCTAACGAAGAAAAGGTTCTCATCTTTTATACTATCTGAATTTAGAGTCCTACACAAATGTAAGACCCTCTGAGAAATGTTGCATCAACAGCTATTACCAGCTATTGACATGATGAATGCGTACAGAGTGCTTGCTCCTGGAGCTGAGCCAGCTGGGCTAGAACCCAGTGATAGGGCTACACTGACAGGTGAAAAACAGGACAGAGAGCGTTCCAGGAAAGGAGTAGTGCTGGTGCAGGGGTCACAGGATGTGGAAGAGGATCTGGGCCCTGTGAGGGAATAGGTTACCTGTGGGGTGGGGAGAGGTCAGGTTAGGCTCTGAAGAAAGAGTCTACCTATTGTACAGGGAAGAAATTGGGGCATGATTTTTGAAGGAATGAATGGTAAGAGATCTTAGGAAACAAAAGGTTGAATGAAGAGGAGAAGGAAGAGAAGGGAAGAACGTTTCCTCTTCTTCCTTGGAATCACTCATTGGTACCTTGGAATGATTTCCTCAGTAGACTGACATCACACGTATTGTTTCCCAGAATAGGGTACAGAGCATCATGTTGCCAACTCTGCTCATGTAATTTGGGGGGGGAGCATTTTGAGTATCTTCTTCATATGAGTCTAAGTTCTATGGGTAAATTCCATATTGTGTATTTGCTGGTCCTCACCCTGTTGTGTAACATGAATACACCTCCTTCCATAAAATGTAGGAAAGCAACAACATTCCTTAAGAGCCAATGTAGAAATAATGCCCTTTTGAGTTTAGGAAACCTATATTAACATTGGAAACAGTTCAGTGCCTGATGGAGAAAGACGGAGCTGTTACCATTTCGCAGTGAGTGGGAAATCATACCAAGTGATATTTCAGCATTTCAACAGCTTGCTTCCAAAAGTAAGTACTGGAGAAATGATGCGTTTTGTTTTGCTCCTCAAATTACTGAGATAAAAAAGGGTAAGAGAACAGTGAAGGGGACGATCAGCGAGGTTATCTCAGAGTTAGGAAATAAACACCCCCAAACAGGCACTGCGCTTTCAGGAGTTTCCCGCCCCGCTAAACCTCCTGATCCAGCACATGCGCATGGCCTCCTGTTCAGCGTTTGAGGCTGGTACTGCCCCTCGCCCCGCCCCTGGGGCCAGTCCAGCCCCCTGCATCCTTCCTCCCTCCCTCCCGAGCAGAGAGAACCTCCAGCTAGTTCCAAAGACGCTGCTTGTTTTTTGTGTCTGTTTCTCTCTGAAAGTCACCAACTCATGTCAGGCCGAACTCTATTCCCCTTCCTGCATTCTTAAATTACAGCAGAAGGAAACAAAGACTTCATGGTTTATTCTCAAAATCATTTGTTATCTTGTCGCTGTGTCTGTATTTTCAAACAGTGCCCTGCAGGGTTGTGCTGTCAGTGGGAAGGAGATAAGTGGAGAACGAGCCCAGGGCAGCAACCATCTGTTAGCAGTGTCTTGAAAGTCCTGTCGCCTTACCAGTCAAGGACTATAGAATCTAGACCCCCCAGGCTTCTAGAAAGCCGTTAGTGCAGTTCCTCATTGGAGAGACTGGAAAGCTGAGACTCAGAGAGGTTGTCTCTTGCCTAAGGTTTGCACAATTTGGGGCAGAGCTAGGAATAGAACCCTGATTCTCAACTCATGATCTATTGCTCTTTCCTCTGCTTAGCCTTCAGTTACGGAGACAGTGTTTATTAAAAAGAACTGTATTTCCTTAAGCGTTTTAATCTTATATGCTCTTCTGCTTTTTAGTTACTTTTTATTCATTAGCGCTTACCCATCTTGGAAAAATGGCCTGGAACAAAGTAATAGACTTGTGATGGAAAACTGAAAGTGAAAGTTAAATATTAAAGTGTTAAATCCTCTTTTTTCCCTTTCCTGACATTTGGTCTAATGTCACACCACCCAATGCTATATTAAAACGGTGGCCAGGAGTCATTTTTCAGGACTGTTCTTTTATTTTAAAAGTGTTCAACTCTCTAATCTTATTGCAATCGTTGTTTTTCTCTTTAGATTCTGGTGAATGGAACAATTTTTGCAAGAATGTTCCCTGGGCAGAAATCTAGCCTCATTGAAGAATTTCAGAAATTAAAGTAGTTGTTATTGCATGAAAAGAGAGTGTATTTGTTATTTATTGCTGCGTAACAAATTACCCCAAATCATAGTGGCTTAGAATAACACCTTTTTTTTTTTTTTTTTACATTGCTGTGGGTCAGGAATCCAGGTGTGCTTAGCTGAGTCTTCTGGTTCTAGGTCTCTCACAGGTGTAATGAGGTGTTGGCCATGACTGTAGTCATCTTGGGTGGGGAGGATCTGCCACCAGCCTCACTCATGTGTTGTTGGCAGGATTCAGTTTCTTGTGGGCGGTTGGGCTAAAGAGTCTGTTTTTTACTGGCTGTTGGGCAGAAACCACCCTTGTTTCCTTGCCACATGGGTCATTTCATAAGGAAGCTCACAGTGTGTCAGCTAGCTTCCATGAGAGTGAGCAAGTAAGAAGAGTCAGAGGGAGAGAGAAAGAGAGGGAGAGAGAGAGGTATGACCATTTTTTATATCTTCATCTTAGAAGTAACATCTTATCCCGTCACTTTATTCCTTTCATTAGAAGCAAGTTGCTAGGTCCAGTCCACACTCAAGGGAGGGCATTAGACGTCATGAATACTAGGAGGTGGGCCATTTCAGAAGCTGTCTACCCCGGAGAGCATTCCTTCTGTGGCCCATAAGGCATATCTTAGAGGAAGAGCCCCTGCTTGGATATAGAGTATAGAAACAACAGGGGTTTGTACAGCTCAGAGTGGAAAAAAATGGAGAAGTGTGAGAGTTATCACCTGGAATTATTTGAGGTTGGTCCATCAGAAGCTGTGTGAATAATTTCAGGTCCTCCAGGAAGGAGATGAAATGGCATTTTCACTGTTTTGGGTATTGAGGCCAAAGTCAGAAAAAGAAAAAGTCCTTTCTTATCTCCTTCAATACTACAGAAGACCAAGTCACATCAGAGTGAAACGGTTCTTCTTGAGACCAGACCTATGTATTACTTTCTGGAACTGTTACAATTTCTGGACTGCAGATTTCTGGAAAGTGAAAAGGAATGGAGAGTAGTGAAACTTAGATAATTGCTGATAAGTAAAATCAAGAGACTGCCTTTGACTATTATTTTTTGTTGCCCAAGCATTCTTAGGGAAGTTTCCAAAACTGCTTATTAACTCCCATAATGCCTCGAGGCTGGGTTAGTAACCAGTGTCTAAAATGACTATTTTACTTACATGGTCATTGTATGATATTGGCTGAAGAAAGTAATTTTACCCTTCTCAAATACCTGAGAAATGTTGCCAACTTAAATGCTTAGTTTTGAAAAGCTGTTTTCCCCTAAAGAAACATCAATTCAGGAGGATATATGCTGTCTCAGAATAAGTTATCCTCTCAGTTTCCAGATCTCGATCTTCATTCAGAATTTATTCTTTATTCAGACAACACTAGAAGATGTAAGATTCCTCGTGTGATATAAAGACTAAATATGTACTTTACGCCTGAAGAAAGGAAGCCATTTTCAGCGAATGTGTATAGTCTTGATATGTACATGAACACAAACAAATGTTTATAGGGTGATTTTCATATATACTAGCCAAATAGTAGGTTAAACCATATGAATCTGTTTACATGTGACATTTTTTTTTTTTTTTTTTGCGGTACACGGGCCTCTCACTGTTGTGGCCTCTCCTGTTGCGGAGCACAGGCTCCGGACGTGCAGGCTCAGCGGCCATGGCTCACGCGCCCAGCCGCTCCACGGCATGTGGGATCTTCCCAGACCGGGGCACGAACCCGTGTCCCCTGCATCGGCAGGCGGACTCTCAACCACTGCGCCACCAGGGAAGCCCCACATGTGACAATTTTTGACCAATAAAGATGGCCGTTTCTTATGTGTCAACTAATAAGGAAATTCTCTGAGAACTTCATTTTTCCCTGTATTGTGTTATTTCATGTGTTTTTGGCAAGTTACCACTGAGCCTTTAAAAGTATTGCCATTAATCAATACCTTCGATGTATTATTTACTTATAATAGAAGACAGTGTGTCTTGCATCAGAAACTCCTTTTCTTTAGTAATAGCTTTAAAATTTACTCTTCCCTTTATACTGTTGTGTTTGTACACCAAACTGGTATAGGTGGGGGCCATGTTATCTCATTTTCACTCCAAGATGCATCAAGAATATGTGTATATATCTCTAGTTATATCTGTTAAACCATTTCCCAAATGTTTCTCTCCCTAGTGTCTACATGTTAAACTTTCAGCAGCAGTCAGCAACCAAAACACAGATGGACTAGGTTGTGATCTGTGCATTAGGGTGTGGAAAGTGCTGTGATTATGACAGCACACACTTCAGCTTGGTCTTGGTGGATATAATCCAACAGGACTTCTTTTGAAGTGTGTGATCATCTTTGTGGACGTCCTTGGCAGTATCACCATCATTTCCATGTGATTGATTGATTGAAACAATTTAAATATACAAGGGCATTATCCCTCTGGGAATAGTTATCTCCAAGTCTTTTTCTTTCAGCCTGATTCCACATGTGTTCAGGAGACACACACACACACACACACACACACATACACACACATCGCGTGTGAGCTAGTTATGATGGAATTTACTCAAGTGAGGCATTAAGCTTAATTAAAATTAAGCATTAATTTTTCTTATCCTTTCCCCTGCAGTTATTATGTAGGCATGTGTGGAGATGGAGCTAATGACTGTGGGGTGAGTAAAAATTACTTCTTCTAATGCAGGGGGGTCACTGATATCCCTTTTAAGGACCCCACGTCTCCTGGGGTCTGACTCTTCACCCTTCTGCCAACAATCACATCACTTAATCATTCTGATGTTTATATTCACTTCTACCGGAGTGTGGGTTGGACGTGGTTTAGAGTAAAGTGAGATGAGTCACTTCCGCTGTTTTCTAGCAACTCCTAGAATAATAAAGACAAGGAAAGGCTACATAGGCTCCCATATTTCAGACCCAAAAGGGACTTTTCAAGGCTAGCTGGTTTAAATCTCTCCTGTTATAAATAAGGAAATGAGACTCAGGGAGGTGAATACTTTTTTTTTTTTTTTCCTGAAGTCATGCAGCTGGTAAAGGCTTAATGAAGGAAGAATTTGAAACTGATGGTAAAGCTTTGAATTATGTGTAAATTGTGTTTATCCCTGCCAGATTTCTACACCAGGGTTACTTTTTACAAGTTGGCTATACCCCAAAATTCTTACACTCAGCAAAATCATAGACCAAATTATTTGGTCATTACATACAATAGCAAACCTAAATTACAAGATTCTCAGCAGATTACTTCTCTAACACCATAGAAGGCAGTGCATATTTTATAATCTGAGTTTCGAAGATATGGCTGAAACAGTAGCTTACTTGAAGATTGTTGTACATAAGAAAATATTTTAGGAGCTAATTTGTGGAAGGAGAAGTAAAGAGAATTGCTTTGTATTTCCAAAGTCTATTAGATACTTAAGGTCTAGGTATTTGTTTTACTTCCTTCTTAAATATTTTCTTCAAAGTTCTGTGAAAAACTATGTTCATAATTAGAGATCTGTTATGAATTTTTCTGCCTCATATTTCATGAGAAGACGCTAGTTGTTAGCCTCCTCTTCCAAATCTAGAGTGAGTACCCATTCTCATTAATTATGTGGAATTTAGAACAAAACAAATAAACTGGATGTTATAAAGGACATAGTCTCTTCCTCCGAAGAGTTCATTATCTGATGGGAGAAAAAAATCATGCATAAAACTAACCCTAACATAAAGTAGATTGTCCTAAATTACATCACAGAGATATAAAATATTAAGGGAGAAACGAGGAAGAAGGAAATATTCTAATATTATTGGAACATGAATTTAGTGTATACTGGCCATAGTAACCAGCAGGTACTTTGCACTTTCTACAGAGCTACAGAAATACGAAATCTCATTTTATGTTCATACAATTCTCATAGGATTAGGGGCTCACTGGACTGCTTGTTGGCCACTCTCTGTTCTGGGCATTCTCTGGACAGTTTCCAGTCTTGATGAGAAATGAATTAGCCCTTATATCAGTGAGACAACATATATTCTGGAATGATTCTCTGATGTGTGCATCTGGTCCTTTCCTCCAGTGAAGATGCTGTATGCCCCACACTTCATCCCAGCAGTTAGCTGGTTGGCCGCATCAGGCAGCCGGCAGCCTAGGAAAAGGTGGGAATTAGTTTTTCCTATAGTTCACGAAGGTGGCCTGTTAAGTGTAAGAACTGTGATAGTAAAGGCCCTCACAAAGTTCCATCCAAATTCTGTCATCTTTTTAATAGATTTCTGGAATGAGTCCTTCCATTTTCTTATCATGTCTACACCCCCTCAACCAATACACACATACACACACACACACACACACACACACACACACACACACACACACACACACCATTTTATGTTCATACAATTCTCATAGGATTAGGGGCTCACTGGACTGCTTGTTGGCCACTCTCTGTTCTGGGCATTCTCTGGACAGTTTCCAGTCTTGATGAGAAATGAATTAGCCCTTATATCAGTGAGACAACATATATTCTGGAATGATTCTCTGATGTGTGCATCTGGTCCTTTCCTCCAGTGAAGATGCTGTATGCCCCACACTTCATCCCAGCAGTTAGCTGGTTGGCCGCATCAGGCAGCCGGCAGCCTAGGAAAAGGTGGGAATTAGTTTTTCCTATAGTTCACGAAGGTGGCCTGTTAAGTGTAAGAACTGTGATAGTAAAGGCCCTCACAAAGTTCCATCCAAATTCTGTCATCTTTTTAATAGATTTCTGGAATGAGTCCTTCCATTTTCTTATCATGTCTACACCCCCTCAACCAATACACACATACACACACACACACACACACACACACACACACACACACACACACACACACTTCTTCTACCACTGGGTCATTGTTTACTTGGTGCCTCTTTCATTGGTGACTGCGTGTATCCAGGTGGCGGAGCAGCATAAACAGAGACCCAGGGGTGGGAGAGTGCAATGTTATCAACTCTATAATGTGAAGAATAGCTTCGCGATGTTTGAAGAGTTAGAGCTTGGCCTGAGGAGTCGTGGGTGTAACATGGCTTTATCATTCCAGGCTTTGAAAATGGCTCATGCAGGCATTTTGCTGTCAGAACAGGAGGCATCTGTGGCCTCCCCTTTCACCTTGAAAACAGCCAACATGGAGTGTGTGTCTCATCTCATCAAGTAGGCCACCTATCCCCCTTCTATCCCCTGACAGACAGGCTCACTGTCTGGCTGTGGACAGAATTCAGCTATAATTGAAAGTGATAAGCATAGGCTTGGGTAAAGTGCTACTGAGTACCATTTAAGGGGGCCATGAGTGCTGCTTGAGAATGCTAGTAAAAGCAACAAAAAGGTGACTTATGCTGAGCTTTAAAGGATACATGGCTGTGTCATGTGGACAGTTGAAAACTAGAGTTGATATTTAAAAACCTATTGTATAGCTTACTTCTCTCCTTTATTTTGTATGTTGGATGCTTACTGGAACCTTTATCTCAGGAGCTGGGGATGCGGGGGAAGCAGAAAAGGAACCCTCCACCAGAAAGCTTCCCCCAGTAGTGTTATGTCTCCAAAATGCAAATTAGTGAATATCCAAAGTGATTGCACCAGAGACTTTTACAATGGATTGACAATTGGATTAGGGAACGGGAAGGAATTAAAAACTGTTTATTTTCCCAGTATAGCTCCCTTACATCCACTGCACTCTCATTTCTGATCTTGTCTCTACTCATTTTTTTTTTGGTCTAATTATTATCAATTAAATAAAGGTTTCATTGGCTAAATAACTAACAAACAGCCATAAACCCTATGATGTGATCCAGGCCAGTAGCTATATGTAGAGGTTCATGAATTATTATTCTTAACCAGTGTTTTGATTGCAATATTAGACACTCAGTATTTGTGTGTACATTTGCTCTAAATTAACATTAAAACAAATAATGACGTTTTTAGGGATTTCTGCTATGGCTCAAACTTCAGACTGACAATGGAGAAGGATGATATAACATCCAAGTAGCACATAAAGATATAAAACAGTAGAAGGCCTGGTTTCTATGAAAACTCCAAGTACTGGGCCTTGAGACTTCCCTGGCGGTCCAGTGGTTAAGATTCTGTGCTTCCACTGCAGAGGGGCACGGGTTCGATCCCTGGTTGGGGAACTAAGATTCCACATGCCACATGGCACAGCCAAAAAAAAAAAAAAGAAATTTATTCATACAGTTAAGAATAAAACATCAGATTTTTTTCATTTAACATACCTTTTTTATTGAAGTATAGTTGATTTGCAATGTTGTGTTAATTTCTGCTGTACAGCAAAGTGACTCAGTTATACATACAATTACCTTTTTTTAATATTCTTTTCCATTATGGTTTATCACAGGATACTGAATATAGTCCCCCGTGCTATACAGTAAGATCCTCTTTATACATCTTGTACATAATAGTTTGCATCTGCTAATGCCAAACTCCCACTCCATCCCTCCCCCCACCCCCCCCTTGGCAACCACAAGTCTGTTCTCTATGTCTGTGAATCTGCTTCTGTTTCATAGACAAGTTCATTTGTGTTGTATTTTAGATTCCACATATAAGTGATATCATACGGAATTTTTCTTTCTGACTTACATCAGGTTTTATACTGTGTGCATACATTTTTTCCCTCTGATTTTTCCTGTAATACTGTGGGGTAACTTCAGGCCATCTTCACGGCCGATGGTCTGGAGCACATCACAGAATGTTGAAGTTTATACAAAAAAAGACAACCGTGAAGTTCTCAGCATGTGCCTTGGTGCATCTGAATGTACGGCGGCCATTGGGAATTACCTAAATGTGCTGTAGCCTCTGACCCCTCTCCCTGAGTACTGGGTGCCTGTACCTGTGTCCTTCATGCCCTCAAACAACATCACCTCCCCTACCTTCAAAGCAGCTTCCCTTGCTAACTCCCATGTTTTCTGCTTCTGAGGACCATTTGGTCCTTAGAGTCCATCTTTGAGGCTCAGAACCTCAGAGTGCTTTTAACTCTTTCCTCTTTCTCATCCCTGGCGAGCCAGGCATTATGTTTTAGTGGTGTGTCTTTTGGAGAGTCTCTCCAAGCCTTACCCTTAATATCTCTATTGCCTTAACCTGGTTTGTGTCATGGTGACTACATATCCAGAGTGTTTGGGACACTTGCCAGACTTCATGCTTCCCATCATCAACACAACCCATGCAGGTCTTTTAAAATATTGTGCTTGAAAATGTGGTGGATTAAGAATGAGACAGAGGCTTGAGCTGGAGGGCTCACATTCCAGTAAAGGGTATAGATATATGCAGATGTAATTGCATAACACAGAATCTTCTGCCTGATAAGTGATAGGTGCTCAATAAGTTAGCTTTAAATAAATGAACGTCCCAATAATATAGTCATCATTCCAGTAGTTCAGGATGATAACTCAAGCCAAAAGGGAAGGTTTCAAAGGAAGGTTGCAATTTGAAGGATGGATAGGATGTATGGAAATGCGAAGGAGGTGGGAGGGAATTCCAGGTGGGGGAATGGAGAGCCATGTTCAGAAATGGGGTTTTCATTGGAGAGTGCAGGGACCTGATAGCCAAACTGGGCTGGAAGGCTTCTCAGATGGGATCTGTGGAGGGGAAGCTGGAGTGCCAGGTGTGGAGGCCTTACATAGGGGGTTCAAACTCCAGGACGGTTGCACCAAGTGCCTACTTGATTCATCCAAAAGACAGTGGCACTTGAACTTCGGATGCCCTTTCTCATGCCCAGTGCATTTCTGGAGGCAATATACTGTTTTAAAATACAAGTCAGGGGGCTTCCCTGGTGGCGCAGTGGTTGAGAGTCCGCCTGCCGATGCAGGGGACGCCCCGGTCCGGGAGGATCCCACGTGCCGCGGAGCGGCTGGGCCCGTGAGCCATGGCCGCTGGGCCTGCCCGTCCGGAGCCTGTGCTCCGCAACGGGAGAGGCCACAGCGGTGAGAGGCCCACGTACCGCAAAAAAAAAAAAGTCAGGATGTTAAATTTCTCTAGTGGCAGATGGCTTAGTAAGACTTCAGGGTTAGGCTGATTTTACCCTTGCTGTCTTTGATGCATGCCTAGTCCTGAGAAAACATCCTCTAGAGGAGCAATGAGGTACAGTTTTAGGTACATGGGTCCAGATCCACAGGTTTCCATTTTTATTCTTTGAAACATGATTGACTTGTTATAGTTCAAGTCCTTTAGGACAAGGACTATGCCGTATTCATTTCTCTGTTGCTGTGCCTACCATGGTACCTCAGAGCATTTGATGAACGTTTGTGGAATGCATTAAGTAAATGAGTGAGCCGCTTAAAATTCACAACCATTTGGAATAGCAGTCATTTTGGAGGCCCGTGCCAGGTGTGGAGGCCTCTCATAGGGGATTCAAACATTCTTTATGCCTTACCATTCTAGATTTTTGCACTTTATTGTTTTTTTAAATCCGGGTGCCAGTTTTCCTGGAAATGTACAACTGTAGGAAAAAAAGGATGAAATCACAAAGTGCATGTCAGAAAACGATCCAGGCTTCACATGCTTGCCATTCTCAGCTGGTCTTCTGCTCCACCCTCTGTGCTGAAAACAAAAAGGCAGTACCTCGCAGCCTGGTAGAAAACATCCACCCAAAGCATCCTGGCTCATCTCCCACCAGAACCTTCTCATCTTGTCCAAGACAATGTGGTTGTTAGCTTGGCTCTTTGGGTTTTATTTCTCACGTCCCTGACCTGTTGACAAAGTTTGAGCAGCGGTGTCCATGTCACTGGGGACTGGAAACCAAGAGGATGTAGGCTGCCTCCCATGTGGATTCGCTTCTGCCTTGCTTGTCAAGAGGAGGCTGCAGGAGGGCTTGTTTGCCAAATTCCCCACTCCTCTTACTTTGACCTGCCATAATCCACCACCAACCAGATCCAGTTAAAGGAATAACAATTCAAACAGAATTTTTTAAAGAGGGTAATATTTACTTTTTTATTCTTATTTATTTATTTATTTATTTATTGGCTGCGTTGGGTCTTCGTTGCTGCGTGTGGGCTTTCTCTAGTTGCGACGAGCGGGGGCTACTCTTTGTTGAGGTGTGTAGGCTTATCATTGCAGTGGCTTCTCTTGTTGCGGAGCACAGGCTCCAGGCGCCCAGGCTTCAGTAGTTGTGGCACATGGGCTCAGTAGTTGTGGTGCACGGGCTTAGTTGCTCCGCGGAATGTGAGATCTTCCTGGACCAGGGATCGAACCCGTGTTCCCTGCATTGGTAGGCGGATTCTTCTTCTTTTTTTTTTTTTTTGCGGTAGGGGGGCCTCTCACTGTTGTGGCCTCTCCCTCTGCGGAGCACAGGCTCCAGACGCGCAGGCTCAGCGGCCATGGCTCACGGGCCCAGCCGCTCCGTGGCATGTGGGATTTTCCCGGACCGGGGCATGAACCCGTGTCTCCTGCATCGGCAGGCGGACTCTCAACCACTGCGCCACAAGGGAAGCCCTGGTAGGCGGATTCTTAACCACTGCACCACCAGGGGAATCCAGTAATATTTGCTTTTTTCTTTTTTCTTGAAGTATAGTTGACATACAATATTATGTTAGTTTCAGATGTACAACATAGTGATTTGACATTTATGTACATTATGAATTGATCACCATGATAAGTCTAGTAACCATCTGTCACCATACAAAGTTATTATAATATTATTGACTAGGGACCATTTACTTGGTAAGCTGCAATTTTTACCCTTGTCTTTATCTCTTTGGGTTCCCATACCAGCTCACATTATTACCCTGTGTTCTTCCTCGTGTATTGAAGCCAACAAACCCATTTCATCTCAAATATTGGCGCCACATCTACTCTCCCTGTGATGTGAGAGCACCTGGCCCTTAGCTTTATGTCTCTAAGGGACTTTAAAACACACACAGGGAGCAAGTGTTGCTAGGATGGAATGAATCACAGGCGAGTCAGTACTTGACATTTTGCACCTTGTCACAATGTATTGTGTTTTTAATGTACATGTTAATCTTCTTAATTCATTGCAAGCTAGTTGAAAATAAGGACTGTGCCTGATTCATTTATATCCTCCATGACTCTGAGCACAATGCTGGCACCTTATAAGCCTTAAATAAATGAATGAATCAGTGGGTGAGGTAATGACTGAAGGAAAGAATGAGTGAGTGAACGAGTGGTTAAATGAATAATTGAGAGGATGAATCAGTGATTAAGTGAATGTATATCAGCAGGCTATTAAAATGAGCTCCTTTTAAAATATAAAAGAGACTAGGAGATATGTGTCATATATAACCAGTTACTTTTATGTTTTCTTAAACAGAGAAAGCCTTGCTGCTCTCGTCTCATCCTTTGGGGTATTTAAATACTTGATCGTGTACAGCATAATCCACTTTATGGGTACATCACTGCTCTACTGGGTACGAACCAAAATAATTTCTTCCCAGTTCTAATTGCATTTATATCCCTTGTTTATTTGGGGGAGGTGGTGCAGCTCTTACACAGGATTTAATGTTTTATAAATAAATGACATTTCTCAAAATAGATGTCTACAAACTTGAGAACTTGATATAACTGTGCATGAAACACAGAGCTAGAAATAAGTAGATGTGGCTCAGTTTCTAGGAGTGCTGTTCTTCTCTAGATAACCTGAGACACTTGACCTCCTCCAGCCTCTATTTCTTCACTTAGAGTACGGAGAGAGCTTCAGGGGAGCCTAAATATAACTCAGCAGGAAATGCATCAGTCTCCAACTATGGAATATTTTTGGCAGACTAAGAAGAGATAAAAAGAATGAGAAGTTGTTGAATTTGACTTTGAAGGACTCAAAAACTGGAAAAATTCCCACACCGGAGCTTTAGTTCTGAACTTGCCCAGAACTTACACGTCATTAGTAAAGGATTAACAATTCCGTAAAAATGTTTTGAAAAGACTTTTAACATGAAATGATAAAAATAATCATCTAAGACTTAATTAGCTATATGGAAGAAATATGTATAGGTTGAAAGTAATCTGCATCGGTTCAGTCATAACTTACTCTACAGTAAAATGATCCACCAGGCTCAGGGAACTCTGTGGGGAGGGAATTATTTTACTGCTTCCCTAAGACATTTGAGTGGTGAAAGCAGGGACCACAGGACTCCAGTCTCAGTGGGCTATTGATTGCAAGAAGCATACACAGAGGCTAAGGGCCAACTAGATGGGTAGAAACAGGAAATGGATTGGGAGTCAGGAAACCTCGATTCGAGTTCTGCCTCTATGACTAAAAACAAATTCGATCTTGCCCTTGGCCGAGCCTTTATCTGCCTCCGGGAACTCAGGCTGACTGATTTCCAAAGCCCTCGATAGTTCTCTGAAAACTGCTCCCAGAATAAAAAGTAAAGCTGTCTTTGAAAAGCCCTGTTCCATCTCAACCTGCTTATATATAATTTTACCATTCTGAGGGCAAAAGAATATGAGAAGGAAATGTAAAAAGACAGAGAAAGAATTGGAGGATGAGAGGAACACTGAGAAACTATTTACATTCCCTGAAAATTACAAAAGCAGAATTTCAGTTCCAAAGTCTCCATGGATAGAGTTGGAACCAGTCTGCTCTGAAACCATTCACTCTGATGGTCTAGACCTAAGTAAGAGTGCCCTCCAAGGACCTTCACCTGGAAACATCTTGGCCTTGAGTTCACTCTCCAAGGGGCCAGAAATATGTTCATTTTCATCAATGTGGTCTGTAATATGCATAGAACCAGATTATGATTTAGTGCTCAGTCAATAGCTATGAAGCAGAGAAACAGACTTGGCAGCAAAAGGTATTATTGCAAGGCAAGTTCCTGGAGAGTATCGAGCTGACTTTCATGTTTAAATACTTCAGTTCCATAAATGTGAACTGAAAAGGAGTTCTATGTCTACACAAACCTTAGAAAGGCAGGTGGTATACCAGAATGAAGTCTGCAATGGGCTTTCTTGGGGTGGGGAACTTGTTCAGTTTGTGAAGGTAGATGGACTCCAAGAGAACGATGTTGTGAACTCAATCCATGGATGAGGATGGAGAAAAAAAGTGTTGAATGATTTGAAGCCTTGACTTCAAATTTTAAGTATGAAGTCCCAGAAGAACTTTCAGGCTTTAATATCTTATGTTGAGAGTTCAACTATCCAGGCTAAGTCTACAGCTGCAAGAATTACTATGGCCGATAAGGAGGGTGTTTCCCAACTGGCTGACTCTCATCGCTAATATGGAATTAAGTTAAACACTGGGAAAATAGTGATTTGGTTTTATTCTATCCAATGAGATGCTAAAGATGTTAGATAAGTTCCTTTCTTCCTAAAGTGGGGAGAAAAGTAACAGCTGCTTCCTGACTACTTTCAAGAACAGTGTTGGGAATGATAAAGACAATATGATGGCAGAAGCCTCACTTATGTTTACATTTCTTTCCTTTTCAGCAACTACAGCTTTTCGGGATTTACCAGTATCCCATGTCAGATGTTGCTACTACCTTGATGGTCTGTTTAACAGGTGAGCTCTTTAGCAAAGTAAACCATATTAGTTGCATTTATCCATGAAATTCTAGAACTATTCATACAATTAAGAGGTTCTGACAATGACACATCTGAACTACCAAGACCTCATTACCTGTGAATTTTTTGAAAGTGGTGTTGGCAGTAAGTTGAGGCTTGAAGTCCTCAGACTTGGCGTTAATGTGTCCTGATAGAAAATAGGTCTTAGCCTTACAAAATTGTCAATGCATTCTCAGTTCTTTGTAGGTTTGTGTCTTGTACAAAGAAAAATGTACAAGAAATCCGGGAAGGGAAATCTTTGAAACCCAAAGGTCATTTTCCATTATTCAGCTATGCTTCACATTGACGTGAAACCAGACTTTTTCTAGGTCTTTGACGTTTGAGAACAAATGCTAGCGCTTTATTGTAGTGGAATTCTCTCAAAAGCAAGGTGCGGCTCACAGCAGCTATTGCTAATTTCCTTCCTTTGAGATGACACTGCTAAAGTATTTCCTACCAAGGAACTTAGAGCTTGATACTAACTCTTAGTAAGTGAGAAAGGTGACTGCCTCAACAGAGAGCGAAGAAAAAGAGTGATATACTCACCTCCTTTTCCTTGTTCAATGAAGGAAGTGTTACGAAAAGTAACAGATAAAACATGAAGCAATGCAGGATATTAACAACCTTGAGAATTTCATGTAGCATCTTTTTTTTTTATAAGCAGATATTCATTTTTAATTATTATTTATTTATTTATTTGTTTTTGGCTGTGTTGGGTCTTCGTTTCTGTGTGAGGGCTTTCTCCAGTTGCGGCAAGCGGGGGCCACTCTTCATCGCGGTGCGCGGGCCTCTCACTATCGGGGCCTCTCTTGTTGCGGAGCACGGGCTCCAGACGCGCAGGCTCAGTAGTTGTGGCTCACGGACTCTAGAGCGCAGGCTCGGTAGCTGTGGCTCACGAGCCTAGTTGCTCCGCCGCATGTGGGATCTTCCCAGACCAGGGCTCGAACCCGTGTCCCCTGCATCGGCAGGCAGATTCTCAACCACTGCGCCACCAGGGAAGCCCCATGTAGCATCTTAGAAACATGAAAGTGATATTGAGGTCATATATTATATTAACCCAATGACAAAATTTATCAGTGTCAGGGATGTAAGTAATATCAATTTTGATTCTTAGGGTTGAAATGCCTATCTATAGCCCTCTAAAATATTTTCTATGTGTTATTAATATTCACATGACTGGATAATTTTGAATCCTTGATATTGCTTCTAGAATGTTCTCTATTTTTTAAAGCAATTTGCATGATTTACTTGTGAAGATGGACGATGATGTTAAAAAGAAAAAAGAATACCAGGATGTTCCAAGAGCTACGCTAGCAGGCAGTAGCGTGAAAGTGAAGGCCATGGCCATCCTCTACCACGCCCTATCTCTGCGACCTTTGGGAAATTATTTACTAAATAAATAATTGACTCATATGAAAGGTCCTTATAAGGTGGTGAGGATCAGATAACGTACCACATGTAAAGTGTATGGAACGGTGCACCACACCCTGTAAGCCCTCATTACAAGATGAATGATATTGTGCTACACCCATCCTTTTTGTCTTTTTTTTTTGAGATGACTATTTGGTGAGCCCTTGAAAAGACTTAGCCTGCGTACAAGTAGACTGATTGGAAATTCAAAAACATGGGTGGTAGCCTTGCCACAGAATTGCCAGATGGCCTTGAGCAAGTTGTTCTGAGCTTTTGCACACTTAATTCCATGTTACTCGTTATGAATCTGACTCCCAAGGTGATGGGTATAGTTTATGCTTTCCCATGGCAATAGCGTGCTGACTCTCACGCCAGTTGGTCGTGCTGTGAAACTTACCCTCTCATCTCAGAGCGAGTTTGGTGGGAGAGTTGGGATGACTCAGGGCAGGACCACTGTTACCAGTGGGAGAGAAAAGTCTCAGAAGGGTGATAGATCAGAAGCATAGTGTTCTATTTGAATGACAGCACTTTACCAATTATTATTCAACAAATGTGTAGCTGTCTAAGTAAATGGTGAAGGTGAAAAAAGAGGGTGGAAACTGCTATCTTTGTTTGTTTTTACCACCTGCCTTCAAACACTATTGCTTTCCCATCCCTGCAAGTTCAGTCATCCTACAGGCAGATCATTTCCTGGTCAATTCTAGGTATTCAAATGACATCAACTTTAGATATAAGAAGTCCAGGTATTATAAATTCACATTTCATGTTTTCATCCAATGCAAAGTTTTCTTCCCCAGATGAAGCCTGACCTATGGCTTGGAGCAGGCAGTGGGAGAGAAGGCCATGGTCTCTATTTTCCTTTGTTTTCTACTTTCACCCCTGCTTCAGCAAATATAAGCGGCAGGACCCCAGGACTTTTTGCTTAAGTGGGGGTACTCTAGTTCTCTCCTGTCAAGCGCCCTCTAACAGGGTAAGCATCTAAACTCAGGCACTTTGCATGGGGCTCACTGGTGAGTTCTTGAGTTCTTCAGAGATTCCCAGTCCAGCGCTCTAGACTAGACCATGCCCTGACATGTGTGGCGCTCTCTCCTCTGACCCCTCAGGGTTTCTTTCAGGATCTGCCTTCTAGTGGTACATATCACAAAGCCTTCTTCTTCTGCTGGGCCCTCTAGCCTCAGCTGAACAATCCACTGGGCAGATTCCTTCCAAGACGGCTCTAGCCTGGCTAATCTCCATCCCTTCTACTTGACGTACCAGATAGTAGATGTGTAGCTTGTTCTCACTGCTGCCCCTTCTCTCTTCCCTTTGATATTACAGGAAGGGGAATGAGAGCCATTCTCCACCCTCGCCACTTCAGGTCTCTCCTGGAGTGGTTTTTATGACCTCCCTTCATTTGTGTTGTGATGCTGGGAAGAAAACCACAGTTCTTGCTTCTCCTAACAATTCCCGTTAAAGAATCTCTTGATCTTCTCCATGGTTTACTCTTATATAGTCTGTACATAGGTAACTGGGGGAGGGGGGATGGCATGCTTACAGTTGAAGGACCAGTGTGGATCCCTCTTGGTAGGTACTATGGAGATATGGTAGTCATCTTTCTGTACATTAAATTGGCACTTACTTCTCACTGTCCTCAAATATGAGGCTCAGCAAAATTCCCCAGACAAGAGGAAAATCTCCATTCAACCTCCTCTTAGAAGTGTTCATCTCCTACTATGTGTTACACACATTGAGTACCTGGGCATTAAAAGGCTGATCACTGATGTATAGAGTTTAGTGGAGGATTCACGTACATGAATGGATGAAATACAAGTCAAAAATAGTGAGTACCAGAAAAAAACAGATGCTTTTGGAGTTTGGAAAAAGGGGATATTGTTTCTGATGATCTGCAGTTAAGGAGGAGATGGCAATGTAGAAAAGAGAGATACTGGGATGGCTTCATGGAAGAAGTAGCATTTGCACCAAAATAGGAAGGGTGAAAAGATTTCAAATATCTTTTACCAAAAGAAGGGCATTTCAAGTAGAAGGAAGCAGCATGAGCAAGAGAGAGCTGATAAATATAGGGGGTGAGTTTTTCAATTTGACCACACTGTAGGGTATGTGGAAAAAAATAGCAGGAGATAAAATCTGACGAAGTAGGTTGGGTCAGATCACAGAATCTTGACTGACAGGCTGATAACTGTGGACATTTATCTGCAGACGTTCAGCGTCATTGACGATTGGACAATCAATGTAAAATCACTCTCACCAAGGCATCTATATTTCCAGGTTCCCCGGTTAGGACTTTGAACCTAAGCCTGAATTAGTATGGGACAAAGAAAATGCCATAACATTAAGCTAAGTGAAATAAGCCAGAGAAAGATAAATACTGTCACTTATATGTGGAATCTAAAAAATATAACAAATTAGTGAACATAACAAAAAAGAAGGAGACTCAGATAGAGAGAACAAACTAGTGGTTACCAGTGGGGAGGGTGGGGACGGGCACTAAAGGGGTTGGAGTACAAACTATTGGGTGTAAGATAGACTACAAGTGTATATTGTACAGCATGGGGAATATAGCCAATATTTTGTAATGACTGTAAATGGAGTGTAACCTTTAAAAATTGCATTAAATTTTTTAAAAATTAATTTAAAACATAATGAAATAAATCTACCTAGTACATTCTCTTAGAGAATGTTTCAAAAAAGACAATTCTATCACATTATTTATTTATTTACTTGCTTATCTATCCACACCTCGCCTTGTTCCCACAAGATTTTATTTTATTTTATTTATTTTTTTAACATCTTTTTTGGAGTATAATTGCTTTACAGTGGTGTGATAGTTTCTGCTTTATAACAAAGTGAATCAGCTATACATATACATATATCCCCATATCTCCTCCCTCTGTGTCTCCCTCCCACCCTCCCTATCCCACCCCTCTAGGTGGTCACAAAGCACCGAGCTGATCTCCCTGTGCTATGCAGCTGCTTCCTGTTAGCTGTCTATTTTACATTTGGTAGTATTTATAAGTCCATGCCAGTCTCTCACTTCAGCCCAGCTTACCCTTCCCCCTCCCCATGTCCTCAAGTCCATTCTCTACGTTTGAGTCTTTATTCCTGTCCTGCCCCTAGGTTCTTCAGAACCTTTTTTTTTTTCTTTTTTAGATTCCATACATATGTGTTAGCATATGGTATTGGTTTTTCTTTTTCTGACTTAATTCACTCTGTATGACAGACTCTAGGTCCACCCACCTCACTACAAATAACTCAATTTCATTTCTTTTTATGGCTGAGTTATATTCCATTGTATATATGTGCCACATCTTCTTTATCCATTCATCCGATGATGGACACTTAGGTTGCTTCCATGTCCTGGCTATTGTAAATAGAGCTGCAATGAACATTGTGGTACACGACTCTTTTTGAGTTATGGTTTTCTCAGGGTATATGTCCAGTAGTGGGATTGCTGGGTGGTATGGTAGTTCTATTTGTAGTTTCTTAAGCAACCTCCATACTGTTCTCCATAGTGGCTGTATCAGCTCACATTCCCACCAACAGTACATTAGG